TTGAGATGGAATGAGTGGGCAGAAACCAAGCGTGACATAGAAAGAGCTGTGCGCATAAAAGGACGCATTCCTGATGGGAGTTGCGCTGGTTCAACCCGCTTCGCATCGCCGGGAGACGAGTTGTCACTGTTGTTTCTTGAAATAATTGGCCAAGTTCTTTTATTGCTCTTGGGTCCAAATAACTACGGATAGGATCAATGAATTTTATTCTTATTAATCTTCCTATTATTTTATTCTTATTAATCTTCCTATTATTTTATTCTCATTGTGATATGAACAAAATTGGGCTATTTATCTTGTGACCGATTAACCTAGACTAGGTTAACGGTCTCGTGTGGCTCGATTTTTTGTATTTGGACCTACCTAAATTTAGCTACTCCAAAATAGGAAGAACCCACGTACACACTCCTGCTGGTGCACTCATCATTAAAATCGTGAGACTGATAGCAGTACGCAACGGGTCAAATGGGACAATATCTGTTTAGATGTGGGCTTAGACAATTAGAAATTGTATAAAAGCCGGACACTGACAAATGTGTCAATGAGAACGCTAGCTCCCAAGAGGGGTAGATTGTAAGATCTCACGTCGGTTGGAGAAGAGAACAAAACCTTCTTTATAAAAAGTGTGAAAACCGAAAACCTCTCCTAACAGGGCAAAATTGACAATATCCGCTAGCAGTGGGCTTGGACTTTTACAATATATCTACATTTTGAATGTCCACGTAAATAGATCTTCACCACAACTTTGTCTCGTGAGGGGATGGCGAAGACGTCTGTATCCAAGCCATGTCTTGTAGACGTCTCTAATCTCGAGTCCCATACATTAGGACCCATTAATATTTTTAAGAAAAAAAATACATTTTATTCAAGAACCGGGCAACCTGATCCGGTCGAAAAACGCGGGTTTATTCAAGAGGTTCGATTCTTAAAAAAACCCAACCGAACCAGTATTCACTCGCCCCTTACAACCAAATACGTGTTGTAGTTTCGAAAAAACAAATCAATGAACGCCAACGCGTTAACGGGAGTCGGAAAAATCCCAATTTGCTTCGCGCTCTTACCTTCCGACTCAGATTGAAGATACTGAAATTGATTCTCGCAATTCGTCTCTTTCCGATCCAATTCTTTCCTTTTGGATTAGGTTTTCATTCTGTCTTCAATGGCGTCTAATTCGTATCGTGGCGGTAGTTCCTTCTACAACGGCGATGCCGCTCCTTATCGTTCCAGGTATTGTTCTTTTTCTTCTATCATGCTAAATTCCTAATTTATTTCCAGGAATTAAATGTTTTGTAATACGAGTTTGTATCATGTGTCTCGGAGAATTACTCAAATCATTTCCATATTTACTGATGTTAAGAATCATAATTACTGAATTCATGTCGCTCAAGTGCAATCGTCCTTTGTTTTGAGGTATTCAGGGAGGGGCTTAGCACGAGACCGTCGGCTGCTTCCGATGAAATTCAACTACAGATCGATCCGATGCAAGGGGACTTGGACGACCAGATCGTTGGTCTCCATGGCCAGGTTAAAAGGCTGAGAAATGTAAGTATATGGTTTTCCATTAAACCATCGTACAGCTTTGCACTTAGATTTATTGATTTGCAAACTGGAAACCGCAGCTAAACTTTTATATAGAGTTCGACATCTAAAAACAAGTTTTTGACAGAAATCTTCAGATTTCTTTCAACTTTTATAGAATATTTGAAATAGCTTTGTTAGAGGTCAATCTATTTGTAATGATACTGTAGGAATTACAACTCGTTCCTTTCTCAATTGGGCTCATGAGATGTACGTTATGGATTTATACATTTCACGTGGTATAGCTGTGTATGCTTTGCGCTCATATTTGTATTTCATTATAATGGCGGTCACAGGCATGATTTTCTTTCTGTAAAGTTTCGTGATTTTCCCTCCTTTCTTATGTAAGATATGTGATTTTTTATTATTTAAGAAAACCGAAATATATAAGACATACAGCTGGAACAAGCAGAAGCCATATATTTACAGAGTCTTCGTTATGGAAGTTCTAGTCTATTGGCTCGTCATCGTTCTAAACATATCATAGCCAATGAAAGAAGTGTGTAATAATAATATAACAAGCATATCAATGTGAATTATAGTCGGTGGAGCAGAAACCTATTGGGGATCCTCTTTCCTTGGAGCACTTGATGGAAACCTTCCTTAGAGGTTCGCTAGCAATCAGAAGTTATAAAGTCGACATTTTTAAAGTCATAAGTTCAATCATTGGTCATTGTCTTCTTGTTTTACCCTTTCTAAAGTCTCCAAAATTGTCTGGCAATTGCCTTAAATATGGTCCTGTATAATGAACAAGAATATACAAATTAAGCTGATAGAATTCCTTAGAACTAACTATTTGCCTATACAAAGAGATCTAGTTGGTGTGAGTAAATTTGAACTCTGGCACAGCTGATCAAAATGAAAAGAGGGGATTACTGATGTTATTGGCCTCTAACTGCCGTGTTGTATGCCCCACCAAAATCTGGAAAACGAGGGGCATCTTTTCTTGTCCTGGTCGTTTTCTTTTTTATTTTATTTATTTATTTATTTGAGAAAGATTTGTTTCTGAATGTTGAGCTAAGCGTCCTATTGTTGACAACGTTTTGCTTTCATATTGTCTACAAAAGCTCTTCTTGTTTCTTATCTAGGAAAAAAAGAACAGACTGTTTTTTTTTTTTTTTTTTCTGGTCCCAAAGTCAATATCCGGTTATCAGCTACTTAAATCAGACACGTTAATCTGAGAAAGTAACTTTATACTGACATCTGAGCAGCATTTTTGATGTTCAAAGTGCAAAGCCCCTAGGATCTTCATTTTGCGACTCGTCACAGTTTTGTCATAATTTTACCTTATTGAGATCGTGTACATTTACTTAATTCCTAATCCAATTTTTGATCTTTTCTTTTTGGTACTTGGTGCAATTGTTCTGGTGCAGATTGCTCAAGAAATTGGAACAGAAGCAAAATCTCAGCAAGATTTTCTAGATCAGTTGGTATGCAATTTTTTCTTAGTTGTCATATTTCCACTTGATTGATCTTTTTGTCATTATTTGTTTTTACTGATTGACGATCTTACTTGAGAAATAAAAAAAAAAAAAAAAAAACTTCGGGTCCTGTTTGCTTAAGAAAATGGAAATTACAGATAATTGGAATAATAATTATTCAACAGGAAAAACAATAGAATGAGAATTAAAATTTGAATATTGCATCTATTAAATATTTTCTGTAACAAGGACCAGAATGTGAATGATTATCGTTCCTTTCATTTATTAAATTTATCAAAGAATGTTTTCTCCCTTTGGGGGAAGGTAGCTTCTCTGAAATTATATATATAAAAAATGATAAACGATTCCCATTTGTTATCGTCATATGAAAATTAGGATCGTTCCAATTATTTGATTTCTGTTGTGGTAGGGATGGAAATACATGTTGCTGTCATATTTTGGATCCTCCTACCTTTTGCCAAAAAAAACATAAAATGGATCAAAAAGAACGAAACAAAACAAGTTTCTTGATAGCCTCAGCCTAAAATGATAGAGCTCATTCAAATTAGAAGAAACTAACTGAAGAAAACCAGTCTCATATCGTTTTCTACCAATTCGAAATGCATACAATCCCGTATACTTCTCATACTTCCGACTGATTCGAAGTTCTGTTTTCTGTCTTGTTGTAGCAAATGACGTTGATCAAAGCTCAAGCGGGAGTGAAGAACAACGTAAGAAGATTGAACAAAAAAATCATACAGAACGGATCAAATCATGTCGTCCAGGTCGTCGTATTTGCATTGATCTGTTTCTTTATAGTGTATATGTGGTCGAAAATATCCAGAAAATGAATGCTTCCCTACCAGTTGCTGGCCGGTGACGAAGGAAAAGGAACAGGAATGATGTTTTAATGTTATCACAGTCACCCATGGGGTAAGAAAATGGTGCAGTGAAAATAGGCTTTTTGTGTTTCTTTTTGTAGGAACTCTTTGAGTATACACTTTTATACGTTGTAAAGATCTGTATTGTTCATTTCAACTATAGTTTTCATCAATCAACTTATGCCGATGGGGTTTCTTTTGTGACTTTTAGGAGAGACAAACTGGGCCTCCTTCTGTAGCGGTTTCCAAGTAAGTCTCAAAGGATCATTACAAAATTAATATATAAAATCGTTGATTGGTTTTTAATGAAAATAAGAATAGAAAATCATAGGACCATGTCAAAATAAATTATTGAATAATGTCACAAATAAAGATTTTGCTTTGTTAATAATGTGGTTTGATTATTATGTCCCTCTTTCTTTCTTGTTTTGTGGCACCTAGAACATGGTCAATTGACAATTAACGTGTTGGTTTTCTTATTAAAGTCAACTTTCACTGTCGATTTTTCTTCTATTCTCAATGATTAAAGTCAATTTTCACTATAAGTTTTCTTCTAGATGATTCAAGTCAACTTTCTTTCACTATCGGTTTCTTCTATTCTAGATGATTCAAGTCAACTTTCATTTTCGGTTTTCTTCTATTCTAGATGATTAAAGTCTTTCTTCTATTCTAGATGATTAAAGTCAACATTCACGATGATTGAAGTCAACTTTCACTGTCCATTTTCTTCTATTCTAGATGATTAAAGTCAACACTATCGGTTTTCTTCTATTCTCTATGATTAAAGTCAACTTTCACTATCGGTTTTCTTCTATTCTCTATGATTAAAGTCAACTTTCACTATCGGTTTTCTTCTATTCTCTATGATTAAAGTCAACTTGATTAAAGTCAATTTTCTTCTATTCTCTAGGATTAAAGTCAACTTGATTAAAGTCAATTTTCACCTCTCACGTGAAATAAGAAATTTTCACCACTAATTTGTCGGTTGGAGATATACATTTATTGGTTATGTTTTATTTCTCACAAAGTTTTCGGACTCGTCTAGTTATCGGGTAAGATAGGGCAAGCGGGCGAGCTATTCTGCAAAAAAAAATGGTTAAGAAAATGCAGTTGGCCAACATGAGAAAATCAAAATGCCCTCTCTTCTCATTACTGCTGTATTTACAAAATATGTACATCAAATTTGTCAATTCATGTCAAGACAATTATTAGACTTAAAGCACAAAATCACACACTTCTAATCAGATTTAATGCACCTCAGGCATTGACTAACATAGAGTGCATATTAATAAAACTCGTTAAATTTCGTTGATGTTGGCCTGGAAATCACCCTCTTAGCTACTTGGAGAAATTCATCCCGGTTGTGTTACCTGTAAGTACTAGTAGTTCCCCAGCTTAGGAAAAAAAACAGGAGAGAACAATGTCGACGACAACGTTGGCACACTCGCAGGATCAAAACGCTTTACAGAGATTGTTAGCTTTCATGTTAGAGGAGCTGTGCTGCTCAATACGGCCTGTAGGAACACACAGCCTGCTTCTCTTTGGCTCGGAAATTGTCACGTGTGAAATAGCTGTTGCAAGTGCGTCCACCAGAAAGGAGTCGTCGACATCGTCACTGTTGGCATTAGAATTTTCAGATGATGAAAGATTAGAGACTTCACTAAGGGAGGCAGCAATAGCTGCACTGTCAAATCTGTTTCTGTTAGGCTTAATTTTGGCTGCAATGGGAGACTGTTGGCAAGATTCTTGATTCTTCAGTTTCAGTTTGACGGGAAGCGTCTTGAACGTGCGTTCGGTGTAAAACAATATCCAGGGATGCCCTGAAGTATGACCATTGGTATCCAAATGAGATTATATTACGTAAGAAGGATTGATATTAACCTATATTCTAATTGCAAAGTTCATTGATAACATATTACTATTGCTTAGAAATCAATTAGGAAAACGAACTTACTTAAAACTTCTTCTGCCGTTATCCTAGCTGAAATATCTCTCGTCAACATTCCCTCGATGAGATCTCGAGCAGGTTTAGATATGGACTCCCACATCCCGGAGTGGAAGTCGAGCTTGGTGTTCTTTATTGCTTCAAAAACTGATTCTACCGAATCGCCTTGGAAAGGAAGAGTGGCAACCAAAAGAGCATGGAGGAGCACACCAGCACTCCAAATATCCACCTTCTCAGAGTAATTTCCCGACAACACTTCAGGGGCCACATAAGCTGGGCTTCCAGCCAGACCAGTTAAACTCTGGCCTGCAGTCCGCAATCAAATAACTTAACTAAGCAAATGTTTGAAACATAATCCTAAGTATAAAACAAAGCAACATTCACACAAACTATAGCAGATCAAGTAAAAGCTTATAAGAAGAATAATACATAAAGAGAAAACAACTACAAACTCAAAAACCTCTGTAGTTTTTACGAAGAAGCAGTTTACCATATCATTTTACCATCCACAATTAAGACTTCCTTCTCCGATTCGTGATACCGAACCAAATTACCCCCCCTCTCCCCCATAAGCATCCTCTCTCATTCTCTCTAAGACTAACACTATTGTAGCTAATACGATAATGTGTCCACTGTTGCTTAAGTTAAAGACCAGCAGTGTCAGCTACGGTTTGTTCTTTTTCGACCTCGAGGACTAATGGGGTTGGGTTGTTTTGTCTAAGCTGCTTGGTGTAAGATCAAAAAACTACTTTTTGTGGCTATAATTTGACTTCTGCTTTTGCTAATTGGAATATTTAGTATCTTCCTTAAGTTGGTCTTGGGATTTCTTTTTTTTCTTGTGCATATTTCATCTCATCAAAGGACTCCAACGGTCACGCCATTCACATTACGGAATCTGCTCTCGTAGTTAGATGAAAGGTCCTAAAGAGGAAAAGAAAGATAAAAAAACACTACAAAACTTGTGTGATCCCACGTCGGTTGGGGAGGAGAACGAAGTATTCTTTATAAGGGGGTGGAAACTTCTCCCTAACAGACACGTTTTAAAAACTTTGAGAGTAAGCCCAAAAGGAAAAACTAAAAGAGAACAATATCAGCTAGCGGTGGGGACTTGGGTCGTTACAAAACTAGTCCTCTAACATAATTATATGACTCATCTTTCCATAACTTACCAAAAAAATCGACTTCCTTTGCAACCTTGTCACAGACTCCTGCGTGTCATCTTGTTGTCTTGTTCAGTCTATAAACTCTGTATTCTTATTCGTAGAGACATTCCTCACTTATTTTCTAATAAGACATCAGCACGATCACTCCTAACTACAGTCACAAATATTTACACAATAATCTCATTGAAAGATTACCTTGTGAACAACAATCCAAGCACATCACAGACACAAGAATAATCCCTTCCCTCTCACATGTTGATTAATAGCTTCAGATATTTGATCTTATCCTATTTTTATTCTGAAATCAGCTTTCAGCTTTCATTGAAAAGAAATTAAAAAAAAAAAAAAAAATGTCAACAAAAGCAGGAACCAAACCAGCAAATGGAACCAAAAGATGAATAAAAATTGTTGGTGATCAGAAGAAACATTGAATGTCTACAAAAAAAAAAAGTTTCAACGTTTGAACCCAAATGAAGGCGTTAAAAAGAGCCAAACTTCACACCTTCACAGCTTCTAAACCCAAGATGGTTCTCCCTTTTCTCACATCATGCCAACAAAATTAGTTTTCTCATAGTGTCAAGTGAAGACTAAAGGAAGTTAAGGTAACTAATACCAAAAGGGGAACATATAAACACGAACTCTCTAGTACAGATTTAAGGATACATACCACATGAAATCCTAGTGGCCAGGCCAAAATCTGCAAGCTTGATCTTCCCAGACGTCGTGAGAAGAATATTTTCGGGCTTTATGTCTCGATGTACAACCCCCATATCATGACAATACTTTATAACCAACATCACTTCCTTGAGTATATTAGCTGCTCGATGCTCCGAATATTGACCTTCACTGACCATCTGATCAACCAAACGACCTCCACGACACAGTTCCATAACCAGGTGAAAACATTCTGACTCCTCATACACTGCCAGCAATGTCACAACACTCGGGTAGCCAGATAAGTGCTGCATTATCTCCACCTCCTTATGCACAGTCTCTTCTCCTTTTTTCAGAGTTTTGCAAGCATACTCAGCTCCAGTAAGCTTACATTTACACAGCCAAACTGAACCAAATTTTCCATGCCCAATGGTCTCGCCTGAAACATAATCATTTTCGATGTTACGTTTTCGCCCAATTTGCGTAGCCACGTCTATGCATCCAATCTTCCTCTTCAAACCTCTAACAGGAGGAATCAGAGACGAACTCCCAATAGGTGGGGCTGTAGCTATGGCTGCAAACCTACTCTTACATGAAGGAACTGGTTCAATACCCACATTCTCCTTGCACCTTTTATTCAACCTCGTGTAATCTACTAGCGAGTAAGTAGCCTTCAGTTTAGAAGATCGCGAATCACGAGTTTCTGTCACATTATCTGGTAAGTCCAAAGGTTGTCCATTATCAGTCTCGGTTCCTTTCCTTTTCTTCCTCATCAAATCGAATTAACCAACAGCTCTTACGCGCGAGTTTGGATAACTGAAAACTGCAAACAAATTTACAGATTCTCTCAACTTCCTTTCAGAATGCAAGATCAAACGCTATTGATGATTGCTTATCCTAACTAACATTACATGAACCAATCAAAGCAACATCAGATTCAATTATCCGCATAGTCTAACAAAATCCAGTCCATATAAAGATCGAAATCATCAAATTCCACAACCTTCAAAAAAAAAAAAAAGGACATAAAACCGCACCTTCAAAGGCCGCAATATCCTTCACCACTCGCATATCAAATCGCCGGTTACGATGAGCGAAATCAAAATAACCGTACCACCATGAAATCAAATATCGATCCGTTGTACACATAAAAGATGTTGAAGACAGAAGCCGAAACCCTAGCAATCTCCGATCACATTCCTTCCGGGAGAGAAAATCAAGCAATCCAAACGACAATAGTATATATATATATATATATATATATATATATATATATATGAAAACTTCCCAATTATCCCAAGGAAAAATTTGAAAAAAAAAAAAAAAAATGAATAACAAGCGGCTTAGGGATTTTGGTCTCGGAAACTTTATGTCCAGCCAATGCACGTCGTGTTTAGTTGAAATGGATTATTTATATTAATTTTATATAAATAAATAATATTTATGTTTAATTATTATTAGATTTGTTAATTCTAAATTATTAATTATTGTTAGATAGATTTTATTAAGTTAAATTAATTTATTTTTCATTTATTAAAAAATGTATTAAACTTTACTCGGTAATTAAATTGAATAATTAATTGTACATATTGTATTTTTAAAAATGAGATATAATAAATTTATATCTAATTTGATAACCAACAACGTCCATCGTCAAAAACTCCTCCATCAGACATTTTTCTCCGGTTCCACTTCGATACCTCAATCATAAACTTCACTCTCTCGCAATTCCATCTAAGTTCGATTCAGTGTCGAGTTCATCATCAAACTGGCTCAAGACTGCCTCCGACCAACCACAGAGTGTACTACTCATGACCTGTCCTATCGAATTAGACCGCTAAAATATCCTCCTTAACCATCATCCCAACGACCTCCGATTCGCCACCGTAGTCCCTTCTCATTCAGCACGTAGTTGACAGTCATAGGAATCAAAACGCAACGCATCGCCATTTGCGAATTTGTTCAACCAAACAACACATTCCACATGATGGCCTCCACGACATACCGCCACCGCCGATTTCGGTGACGGAATCTCTTACAAATCATCGCCAAGATTGGAGTTGATTTTGAGAAAGTGACCAATAAGGTCCATTATCCCGAGCAATTCAATTGGATAATGTATTATCTAACATGATATCAGTAATTATCTTAAAAAAAAAAATTATATTAAATGGTTTAATTTTATAATTATAAGAAAATTATTGTAAGTTGAACAAAGTCAACCACTAATATTTGTATAAAAATAATAATTTGAAAATTTTGTTTTAAATTTTATTATTTTACTTATTTAAAGAAATTAAATCAAAATTAAGCTAATGCATGGCATTAATTATTAAATTATTATGCTCACTTTGGAACATATAAATTAAATAAATATAATTACTAAAAGTCATTGGACCAAAATTAAATTTTAAACGCATAATATATTCTTAAATCTCTATAATTTAAAGGAAAGTAAAAAATAAATTATAAAGTTTGTGAACGAAAAATAAAAATTAATAAAATAACAAATTCGATTTTTTTAAGTTGGGCTTCTGGGCCAATGGGCTCGACACGTCATCAAGCCCATTGTAAATTCAAATATTTTGAAAAGAAATTAGTATTTCTTCTGACCCGCCCACGAACGCTATGCGCTCTCATTCAAAGTGGTGCTACAACGGCTACGTCTCGTTGGCCACATTTGTTTAAAATTACAGTAGCTTTTGAAAGGAGCCGGGCGAACTGCGTTTGAATTCGAAGTATTCGAGATTTCAACGACTTCTCTGGTCGCTTGCTGGAGTCGTTGTAGTTTCTAGGGGTTTTTGCGACTTGGAATTTTTGAATCTCGCTAGGGTTTACAGGATTCAGCGATGGATCTTCCTCCTGAAATCGACAATTACATCAAGGAAACAATAGATCATTCATTAGGTCTACCTGTGTCGGCGGAAACGCTGGAGTTGAAGCTTCGGGTCTCTGAGGATGATCAGAGGCGGCTTGATCAATATTGCGATGTTCTACAGTCCAAAATCAAAGAAAAAGACCTGTTGATTGAGCGTAGTAGGGTTCGTATGTGTTGTTGATTTTTTGTTCTTCGTTTTGTTTGAATTTTTTTTTTTTTTTCAGTTTTTCGTTTTTCTCACGTATCTGGTTGATAGGCTGAAGCGACAATGAACGCACAAGCTTTGAAGAAATTTGTCGAGGAGAATCGAAAACTGGCTACGGAGTGCCTTTTTCTTACAGGTCAATGTGAAAAATGGGAGAGAGAGTGCTCTTTATATGATCACGACCGAGATGCATTGATGGAGTTCGGGAACGAGGCGGATCAGCGTGCAAGGGAGGCTGAGAATCGTTTTCACGAATTGCAGGAAGAGGTTAGACGGTTGTCAGATGAACTGCTGTTCTTTAAGCATGAATACGAGATGAAAAGGGTAATAGCATCTCCTCTCAAGCACTCACGTGTTGTTAGTTTAAAGAAGGTTCAGTACAATGGAGGACATGATATCTGTGGTATCGTCCATATCAAACTGGCCATTCAGATTAAGTAAAAGTTTGGTTTCTCAGGTTTAATTGGTGGGGTTCTAATTTTGGGTTGAGTGCTATGTCTATCTCCGCTCTTAGATTGTTTGTTTATTAGTTGAAGGGTCATTGTCTTATAGTAATGATCTTGTGAATTAAATGCTTTAATTAGTGGCATTGGTATTTGGTAAATGTTTAAGGTCGACGTTGATCATTTCTATGAACGAGGAATCATAAAATGCCTCTAATAATTGAACTAAAAAAATGGTTTTATCTGAGCGTAGAAATTACTGCTTAGTTAGCTCGATGAACATCAACTACTTTGTATGTGTATCAACTACTTTGGGTTGAGTGCTATGTCTATCTCCCCTCTTAGATTGTTTGTTTATTAGTTGAAGGTCATTGTCCACTGTGAAGAGATGTTAACCAATTTTTACTAGTAGCCTAGCCTAGCATGCAAGCCGTAAGTCAGGATAGTAGTTCTTCCATTGGTTGTGTTAAAATTGATGCATGTGCATTTTTTACAACGCTTCAGGTTGATTCATCTTCTGATGGCAGAGATTTGGAGGATAACTTACTCGAGTTGGTTTTGCCTACATGTAATTGTAATGATAGATCTACAGCTGCTCATGCATTTTTAGAAGCAAACAGTGATCAAGATTCAAGTCAGAAGCTTATTAAAATGTGGAATTGGTGAGCTTTTGTTTCTGTTTTTGTTTTTTTCGAATTTTTTTTTTATTGTGATATAAAAAGAAAATATGGTAAACGATAAAAAAAAAAAATTATAAGAGTGTGAAAACTTCTTCCTAGCAGACATGTTTTAAGAACTTTGAGGGGAAGCCCGAAATAGAAAAGCCCAAAGAGATGTGTCAGCGAGCGATGTGTCACAAATGTTATTAGTGGTGGGCTTGGACTGTTACAAATGATATTAGAGCTAGCCACCGAGCGATGTGTCAGCGAGGAGGTTGAGCCCCGAAGGAGGGTGAATTGGTGGAGGGTCGCACATCGATTGGAAAAAATGAACGAGTGCCAGCGAGAAAGCTGAACCCTAAAAGGAGGTGGATCGTGAGATCCCACATTTTAAAAACATTTAGGGGAAGTCCAAAAGAAAAAAAGCTCAATCGCTAGTGGTTTAGGTTTCTAACTCGGTTAACCTTTGTTGAAATTTCCTCCTAGCTTAAAGCCTTCAACTCAAAAGGCTCTATCACTAGCTGCTTACGTGAAGGCCGTCGAGAAGGATTGTGAACATCTGAGGGAAAATCTTCAAAAAGCAGAAGAAGAGGTGAGTTTGGGGCATTTTTTCTGGATTCTTGCTTTGTGAACCATATTTGGCCCCATTGATAGCTTATTTATGCTAGTTTTTATGCAGGTGAAGTTGTTGTATGAAGATAATATGCTTCTTGACGAGGAGAACAAGAGGCTGCTGAAACGGCACCAGGAAGATATAATTCAACATTCAGGCGACAAGCAGCAGGCCAACAGTGGGTCTGCCGCCAAGGTCAGCCTCATCAACTTCTTAGTACCATTTAATAAGTATTATGATTTCTTAAGATTTTCTCTTGTTTTCTAAACTTTACTTTCGAGTCCTCATGATATATGCATCGATATTTTATGGTAAACTTAGGCTAAAATTTCACAAAACTATGAAAAAACAAAGAAAACATAGATGTAATTAGACATTATAAGCTTAATTACATAAATACATTTGCTTTTTGAAAATTTTACTTAATTTCTCGTCATTTCTCTACTATAGGTTTCATCTTTTCTTGGAAAACTTTTGAATTCCGAATCAAATTCCATAATTTTTTAAATTATATGTAAATGGTAGATAACAAAACAAAAGAATTTATTTTAAAAAATAGTGTTATAAGCTTAATTCTCACCGACACAAAAACAAAATGGTTATCAAATGAGCTTTAATTTTCAGTTTTTTAAATTTTAAGCTTATAAACCCTACTTTTTTATGAATTTCTTTGTTTTCTTATCTTAGAATTTGGTTAAGGATTCAAATGTTTTCTTAGGAAAGATAAAAATTATTATCTTATTTTTACTTTTAGAATTTGGTTAAGAATTAAAATGTTTTCTTAAGAAAAATGAAAATTATTGTAAAGAAAAATGGGGAGAAAATTAAAATAGTCATTTATAAAGATTTTTTTAGTTTTTTGGTAGGCAATATTTAAAATATAATATCATCTTTTGCAGTCAAACAAGCGAAAATCATGTCGAAAAATGAGCAGTCCAATTGAAGGGAAGAATATCATAAATGAAGTCGACTCGATACGACAACCTCTTTCACCTTTACAACATAACTCTCCGAGCTCGAGAATGCGAAAGAAGTAGTTGCAACCCAAGAACAGGTCACCCTTTCCCCTTTTCCTTGTGACATTTTGCTGCCACACTACTAAAGCATATGACTGACCTAACATAATAGCAGCTAGCTAGAAGTACGATAACATGTCCTTTGCTAGTTAGGAACAATTCAGCCGAGTTCTTGATTTGAAATGATATCAAAGAAAAACTCTATAGTTTCGTGCCAATGTGTCTGTATTCTTGATCATACTTTAGACTTTAGATAAACTGTGTTGTACGTATTTTGAAACTAATCTTAATGCCTATGATTTCATTTAGTTCATAATGCAGAAAGGTAAAAATTATTATTAGAACACATTGCATTGTTCAAATATAAACTACGTAAAATATGTGGAGTTTTGTGAAAAATAATTTAAAATTACTTTGATAACGAGAAAATAATGTAAATATATGAATGTATTTGAGCATGTTTTAATTATTATCTAAATTTCCTAAGTGTTTTTTTAGTTTAGTGTTGGAGTGGGAGATTCAAGTTTTTGACTTATTGTCAGTCATTTTAGTCTTTGAGTTTTGAAGTATAACGGAATAAACGGAAAGCTGACTGGACTTGCTTATGTGGCTTGGTGATTGAGTTTTTTTTTTTTTTAGTAATAATTAATAATTAAAAAATTTACATTTATAATATTACGAAAACAGTTTCAAAATGCCACCCATGGAACCAAGTTGGTGTGTTGAAATCAACTTGCACTAGTCTCGAAGTGGAGAGAAATTTCTTCCAATAATCAAATAGAGTTGGTGATGGGATTATATTTTTCGTCCACGCTTTATCCCACTTGTGTATAATATATATATATATATATATTTTTTTTTTTCCAAAATATTAACAAAACCTTGGTTTTCTGAACAAAGGTTAACTTATTCGGTCTTAGAAGGAAAACCCACTAAACTTTCCTTCTCCCTAAAAGATTCGCTCGTTGTTGTTCACTTTCATTTGGTCGCCTAACAGGTTATTAACCGAGCATTCAAGTATCAAATGTAGTTGATTTTTGCATTAGTAGAAGGAATTGAGCAATAGCTTTAATCATGGTAGGATGATAAGAAAACTTCTATGAAGGAATTATATATATATATGTATGTATGTATATGTATGTATGTATATATATACACTCGAAAATTCAACCATTTATTATTTACTTTTGAAATTTCAAATCCATAAAAGAATTATATATATATATATATATATATATATATATATATACGAATTCAAGTTTATATATATATATATATATGCACGCACATTTTTTTAATTTGTTCTTAAACCCTGGTTATTTGGAGGGTTAATTTGAAAATAGATTATACAAATTTAAAGAATTCAAAATGTCAGTGACGGATAAAAGATAAAATTACCCGAAATAAACAATTAAGTGGTCACTGCATTTACGAGGGAAAATTAAACGAAAGTATCTAAATATTGGCTAAATATCAAAACGTCGACGTTTTGACATTTTCCGAGCTTCCTTATCCAAATCCATGGCGTAGCTCTGTGTTGCTTTCAAACCGGAAGAAACTAAACGGAGCGCAGTGAATAATATCCCAGCAATGGCTCTGGTTCGCCTTCCTTGTTCTTCATCTTCCACTTTCCTCCGCTCTAAACAACACCACCCGATCTTTCTCGCACCTCCTCTCGTGTTCGCAAAATCCATCTTCTTCCATCAATGGCGACATCAATCTCTCTCTTTCTCGCTCTTCTTCCTCTCTTCTTTCTACTTCCTTTGACCACAATCCTTTCATTTGCACTAAAGGTAACAAATCTAGGAGGTTGATTTTCCATTTCGCCTCAACCTCCCAAGACGATGCAGTAGCGAGCTCTCCTTCTGATACTGAGGAATTTTCTCGAACCAGATTGCTTGCTCAGAACGTGCCTTGGAATTCCACTCCTGAGGATATTCGTTCTCTTTTCGAGAAATTTGGTACTGTAATGGGCGTGGAGGTATGCCAATTCTAGTTTATTGTTCGAAGGTTTTAGTTTATTGCGAATTGATTATCGGTCCTCTTTCTCTCAGCTTTCAATGTATAACAAGATCAGAAACAGGGGATTGGCGTTTGTAACGATGAGATCACCTGAGGAAGCTCTTGCAGCATTCAATAATCTCGAATCGTATGTAAGCAGACTGATGTTTATCTTGATTATGATTGGCGTTCTGTTGCTTATTTTGATTATTGTGTTCTGTTGGCTTACAACAATGTTTACGCTCGATCATGGAAGAATAGTCGTAGTAGAAATTCATTGCGTTTGGCTAAAAGTTTTCATCACTTTATTATTTCTGATTGAAGCATTTTGAACTCTTGTTGGATTCATTCAATGAAAAGTTCACATAAATGCAGGAATTTGAGGGTCGTACTCTAAAGCTCAATTATGCTAAGCTTAAAAAAGAGAAACCCTCCCCTACCGTGAAGCCAAAACCAGTTACTTTCAATTTCTTTGTGGCTAATTTATCATTTGAAGCAAGAGCAAAGGACCTTAGGGAGTTCTCTGATTCAGGGAGTGGTAACTTAGTTTCTGCACAAATTATTTTTCATGAGAATCCAAGAAGGTCTTCTGGATATGGTTTTGTTGCCTTCAAAACCAAAAGGGATGCTGAAGCAGCTCTTTCTGAGTTCCAAGGGAAGGTAATTTCAGGTGTTACTACCTATTTTTTAGCCTCAAGAACAGTGTATATCAGCATTCTTGTGGTTCTTCATCTGTTTGAAGTGCAGATTTTCATGGGAACAGCACTTCGTGTTGCACGTAGTGAGCAGTTTGTGAAACTACCTGAAGAGAAATCTCAATCTGAAGTTACATCAACTGATGGCATGGTGCTATCTAATGCTGCTGCTTAAGTTTAAAATACGTGGTCGTCTCGTGGTAGAACGAAACAGTTTGTCATCAACCTTTCCTTCTTCTTCTTCTTCCATTTTCTTTGTTTTGTAGGTAATGCTATCTAGTTCTCCTCTTATGTTTAAAGGATCAAAGTTGGATTCCCCAACGAAAGCGCACATTACTGAAAATCCATATGGATTAACGAGTGTATATTAGATCACATATTAGTGTCCTCATTTATTTCAACCTTTTCTCTATTGATTTGAAGTCTCATTTCACTCGAGTAAAGTAAAGTAAAGTAAGACAGTTTTCTTTAATCTTTTTTTGTAACAATCCAAGTCCACTGCTACCATATATTGTTCTCATTGTGCTTTTCCTTTCGGGCTTCCCTCGGTTTTAAAATGTGTCTACTGGGAGAGGTTTCCACATACTTATAAGAAATGTTTCGTTCTCCGCTTTCCCTTTCGGGCTTTCCCTCAAGATTTTAAAACGCATCTACTAGAGAGAGGTTTCCACATACTTATAAGAATGCTTTGTTCTCTGCTTTCCCTTTCAGGCTTCTTCTCAAGGTTTTAAAACGCATCTACTAAGGAGAGGTTTCCACATACTCACAAGGAATGTTTCGTTCTCCGCTTTTCCTTTCAGGCTTCCCCTCAAGGTTTTAAAACGCGTCTACTAAGAGAGGTTTCTACATCCTTATAAGAAATGTTTCGTTCGTCTCTCCAATTGATGTTGGATCTCACATTATTCCTTTTTTTTTGTCTTTCAATGTTTTCCCGGAAGAAAGTTTAGGATTAGCTGGAGTTACTATTTTGAACACACAATATTGTGCTAATTCAAGAACAAGGACAATCGGTACAATTTCATCTTTACTTATTTGCTTTAAATAGAATAGGTGGGTGGGAGAATGCAATTTCAGTATGCATTTTTGTTTGCATGGTCGCTGTATCGTACTTGAATTCACATTCATGTGTACTATATCTCATAATTGCAGTACTGTACTAATCGAGAACATTAAGCAACCGTCTGCTATTTGTTTGTTTGGTTGATTGCTTTATATGCTTAAAGTAGTCAATTCACGAATGTTGGCAAACCCCTCAGTGTGAAGAGGCCATCGGCGTCGAGTTCTTGAATTTCATTGCTTCATTCTGTTATTTGAACTATGTTATGTGGTTTCCCTGTCCGGAGCAAGTAGTGAAGATGCCAGATATTATCTTCCACTGCAGTGTTGATTGTTTGTTCTTTTTCACGCCATGATAAGTTGTTCAACCTTGTTCTTTAGAACTTCATGAATTCTTCATATTACTTTATTGTCTCTCTGTTCTCTTTCTCTTCTCCTTTTCTTCTTTTCAGGTGACATATTGTTAGGTGTGGAATCATTTCTTTTTTTTTTTTGCGTCTTTGTTATCTTCTTTGATGTTCTTAGTACCCAAACTTTTGTATGAATATTCTCGAACTTTGACGAATACAAAATTGTGTACTGTGTGCTAATGATGTCAGATTTTCTTGTATAAAATTATATGCTTCGTGTTGGGACTGAGTTCGTACTCCCTCGGCCATACTTGCCTAACTGTGCTCTTCCAATATTGAGGGACAAGAAGAAAGTAGATGGTATATAGCCTATATGTGCATTCTCTTGCTAGAAGGTTCTTGATCTTGAAATTTGAAGGTAACGAGTGTTTTCATTCAGAAAGAGAGTTGCTGATTGATTTTAAAATTTTGTGCAAGCTAGATTTGGTTTAATTTTGAAGGCGTAGCAGGATTTACTCTGTAGAATCGAGTTTAGCCTTTAAACTTCACAATTCTGAATTTTTGATCTCTACAGGAAGACATGCTCGATAAAGAAAAAACGTGAAATCTTCCACAAAGTTGAGGTTGAAAAGCATCCTTTAAACGTAATGCTTCTCCCTCTAGTGATCTCTGTTAATCCAATAGGGGTATGAGTATAGTTCTAGTTGTGTTCATCATCTTGAGCTAGCAAAAAATGACTGACAAATGTTGAATTGCCCTTAAACATATGATTTCCCATTTAGTTCGATATCCAGTTCAAACCATCCTCGGAAAGATTGCCTTTGCATTAGGTAACATAATTCTACTACTCATGTCAATCTAAACAATCTCTACACAATTCTACTGATTAGACATATATCAAATATATATCTCCAAACAAAAAGTTAGAAGTTCGAATTCACTATAGGGAACATTGGGGGGATGGTTGGCTTGAAGCCAACGGCCCCCAATGAAGCCCTAACTCATGTGGAGTTGTGGTAATGGAAATGCCTGGATGGTAGAACCAAACCACAATAATGCAAACCTTTCATCTTCCTTATGATGACTTCCTTTGATCCTTTTACTTTTAGGCTCTTCTTTGTTGGGTGGAATGTTAAATCATAACCAACTACATTTCTATTCTCAGGCTAAAGTTTAAAGTTCATCAAGATGTCTAAATTGTAAGA